GATTGAATCTAGTCAAAGGAGTTGGAGTTTACAGGTGGTGTTAATTCTCGAACTGGATGTGTCAACTATATTGTGCCTAGATTACAGATTAAATGCAGTAATGAAAACAGATTCATACCCAATTCCTTAGTGAGAAGGTTTTCTGAAGAAGGGTCTAGGCCCGAAACATCAGCCTTCCTGCTCTGATGCTGCTCAGCCTGCTGTGTTCATCCAGCTCTACACCTTGTTATCTCCTTAGTTAGAAGATTGTGTTGATAGGGTTGGCATTGCTTCATTTCTTTCCAAGGTTGATCCACCAAAGGGATACTGTCAAGAACCATTAACATCAAAAGCTAAGGAGTTATCAACCTGTGTTCAACTAAATGGATTATATTAATATCAATGGAATGGGCTGCCAGAGAAAGTGGTTGAGGCTGTTACAATAGCAACATTTAAAAAAAACATTTGGGTCGGTACATGGATGAGAAGTGTTGAGAGGGATATGGACCAAATGTAGGCAATTGGAAGTAGCTAAATGGGCACCATGGTCAGCATGGACCAGTTTGGGCTGAATGGCCTGTTTCCATGCTGTATTACTCTATGACTCTGAGTGATGGCTATTTGGATTGAAAAATGCCCCAGCTGCATTCCAAAGACTTAAAAATCAAGTTGCAGCCAAACTGCCAAACTGTGTACTTTATTTAAATGATGTATTATCAAGTTATGTCTGCAAAAAACATGTAAAGTAACTACAAGATTTGTTTAAGCAACTGCAGTTAGTTGGCTTGGTAATATATTTTGCCAAATGAATTTACAAAAATCTGGGACATATCATAGGGCAAGTGTTGCTAAGAACATTGAAAGTGAAGTTTCTTAGAGAATTCCCTGTTTCTAAGCCTTAATAGGAAATCATACAATTTCTAGGAATGTGTGGATTTTTTTTGGAAATTAGTGGTTAACGTCAGCACAATAGCTATACCTTTTATAGATTTGTTATTGAAGCAGTCAAAGATTGTGTGGTCAGCAGAGTGCCAAGCAGCCTTTAGGATGTTGAAAGTAATCCTAATAAACCAGTGTTGGCCACTCCTGACTTTATAAAACCTTTTAAGATGTCATTTGATGCTAATGATTTGGCGGGAAGTGCAGACTTATTGCAAGATGCTGAATTGGGAATAGAGAATCCAGTGGGCTATTTTTCTTAGAAATTCAACCAGTATCAGAAGAAAAACTCTGCATTGGAAAATGAGACTTTCAAATTTCATTGGCTCTTCAACATTTTGACGTCTGTTTGTCTTGGTTGTATTGAAACACTAACATGCTCACCATAACCTGCCAGCTTTATAGAGAAATTTTAGAGTCAAAATACAAGATTGTTTCAATGGAGCTTATTGATTCAATCATTCAATGTAAAGAATGTTCATATTGATGGAAAAACTAATGTAAAAGTGGATGCATTATCTAGGGTATGATTGTACGGAAATTGTTTAAGAATTTGAGAAATAAATAGCAAGAAAATGTTGAAATCTTTTTAAGGAATGAATGTGTGAGAATGCAAGTGATTTGTTTTCATGTTATATTGTATATGTGTAATGTTTTCCTGGTAATGTAATGCATTTAAAAACAGAAGTTTATTTTTTTAAGGGCGGAAGAATAAGAGGCCAGAATACCAGGATGATTTTTGCAACTTGAAAATTAAGTATTGCCTACTTTCAAACTTTTAAGTTAAGGAAATTTTGCCTCACAACAGCCCCCTGATTGGTTGACCTGCAGAGTGTTTAAAAAGTGTAAGTGCCAAGAGAAGCAGAGTGAAGAAATCATCCAAAGCCTGCAGACAGAAATATCCATCTCTCCCTTTCTCTCTCCATGCGGGGAAGATACAGAAAAAACAATAAAGCTCACAAGAAAGAAAAGATCTAAGTACATGTGATAAACCATTGAATTTAAGAATGACAGTCACTCCACCGTTTACAGTGTGTCATAATTGCGAAACTGAAAAGGACTGTGAGAAACATAACTTTCCACCTGGTGGTCTGGACTTTTAATCTCCAGAATTTTATTGACTCAGTCTATATTCATTTTTCATCTGTTTAAACCATTTGTCAGTTTTAATCATCATCAAATAAGTGTGTATCTTGAATTGTGTAAGGTTATAGTTTAGGTTGCATAAATCCAAAATCCTTTCATTCCATTCCAGTTGTCAAAATTAAGTGTGAAAAAGTAAAAAGGTGATTTTTGAACCATTACTGAGGAAACCTGGAGTGAATTGCTTTTCGCTCTGATTAGCAGTTAGATAGATAATTTGGTCATTTTAGTCGTCTCATTGGGATTTTATACATTTATACATTATGTGATGAGCTTGTGGAACAATGGGGCATGATTATTGGGGCACTCTTCCCAGTTAAGTCATGACACTACATCGATTTTGCAATGAGTACAGACACAATACAATCTGTGTATATGTAATAACCAGGATGAATAATTAGTTTGCAGAACACCAGAAGGCTTTTTGGTTACATGAATGCTTTTACTGTGATCTCCAGTTATTTCTTTGAAGCAGTCAGGCAGCCAAAGTACTAACAATCTTTTTACCTAGGCAGATAATAGTTTAATGGTTGGCAACAATTTTACTTCCTTGTTGTACTTTCAATTCAGCTATTTTCACACATGACCACAGCTAGAAATTACATTTTTGCCTGACAACTGTTGCACTATTAATGTTTTTAATATACAGACCTGCTATCAAAGTGAAATCTTTGTCATCTCATTCATGGATAGCAATCTTTTGTGTTTCAGGCAGGTGAAATGTCTTTGCAACATGATGTGCTGTGCAAAACAAAACCCTCCATTTTAAAACCCAGGTACTTGAATTGTTGGAAGCTCCGATTTTGTTACAAAATTGCTATAAGAGTACCATTATGTAGAAACAGTCATGATCAATGATAATAACATTTCCAGCTGTGCCACACTTTAACCTATTTTTGATCAGCAATCCATAATTGCCTCGAGCAGAGATGATGTTTTTGCTGCTGACTTGGCAATGGTCAATATTGAATATGTGTCATGTCTCCTTCCCATTCTTTCAACCTAGCTATCAGAAAAGTGATGTTTAAGTTTATGTTGGAAATCATATCCTGTTATCTATAGTAAAAATACTTTTTGATGTAATATTGAATACTTATGAAATAGAGTTGGATGTCTGTATCAATCAAATCATGCAATTTGTACATCCATTGCTAATACAGGCTCCTCGTATGATTAGGAGAACAAATATTGGAATTAGTTATTTTGTTATGTTATTATGTTATGACAGGTGCTAATATTTTTAAGTATATCACAAGCTAAAATATAAGTTGTATGATCTGCCACCAGAGGCCCAGAACCATCAGATGGGATGGTGTTTGTGACATCGGGATTATGGGAGAAAGGACAGGATTGCAGCCAAGGATGAAGGGATGCAGGGTCCCTTGGTCACAGAGTCCCCGATAATGAGGGAACTCCCACACCACCCATGGAAGCTGGTAAACTAGTAAATCTGGCAGCATTTGCTGAGCAACCCTCTGAGGGCATGGGAAAGCTATGTTACTTCCGTTTCTTCCCATGAACATCAATAAATTGTGATGTACTCAGGAATAATAATCCTCCATTATGAAGAAGAGACTCTGGATCTGAAATGTTAATTCTGATTTCCCTCCACAGATGCTGCCAGATCTGCTGAGATTTTCCAGCAACTTCTGTTTTTGTTTCAGGGATAATAGGTGTTAGTTGAGCCATGAATAAGACTGATTGACATGCTGATTCAGGTGACTGGGAGCCCTGCGTTAGCCTGATCTCCCCCCTGATTTACTTGAGTATGTATTTTTTTGCTGCCTGGAAACTGATGCTGGGCTTTTCCCTGATTAAGTGAGCCTGGCTGCCATGTTTCCCACCATAGTTGGCTGCATGAAATCTAGCCTGCCATTTTCTTCACCAGTATGAAAGAGAATTAGTTGGACCTCCTTTTAAACAGGTTGATCTTCGATTGGCCAGCTTTTTCTAAGTGACTTTGAATGCTGCAAATTTGAAGGCAGGAGCAATGATTAGGATGAGAGGCTGCTGGGTGTTGAACTCACTACCTTTCCTGTCTCTGCCTCGATTAAGGCCATGATGTGGAGGTGCCATTGTTGGATCGGGGTGGACAAGGTCAGAAATCACAGTCAGTTGGACTATAACCTGGTGTTGTGTGATTTCTGACCGATTAAGGCCAGGTAGAAGAGTCATGGATGGCCTTCTTGCCACACCACCTACTGAAGCCCTTAAGTGAGCAATTATTGCCTACTTAAGAGCCTTGTCCCATAGACTCTTATGGCACAATGGCAGTGTCCCTACCTTTGAGCTAAGAGGTCTGCGTTCAAGACTCACCTACTCCAAAGTTGTGTAATAACATCTGTGAACAGGTTGATTAGAAAATACAAAAAGACTAGGCAGTGAAGCACAGTATGGGGACTTGGGAAACAATCTCTGTTGGATTTGCTTATAGGTTCCCAGGAGGCATCCTACATTCAAAGGCATTCAGTAACTGATCAAGGAATCAGGCATTAGGAAGTGAGGCTTACTGACAGGTAACCACTGTCTTTGCTGTTGATTCCTTCTCTCTTCCTCACACATCCTCCACCAATGCTTGCATTGGTGCTACCTGAAGTATAACACCTGATCTCTCATGGTATAGCATCTCCCTGAAGTGGGATTTTCACCCCCGGGTTCTGGATCCTGAAGAAAATCCTACGTTAGCTATTTAAGTTTTTGAGCTGCATTTAATACTGGTGGACCTTCCACAAAAGCAGTAATGTGGTCTGTCAGCAACTGTCCATCTAACAGGTGAACCTTAAGTACAGTCCTTCCTGTCTATTAGCTAGCCTACATTTTACTTTAAAAAACACTATCCATGTATTGCAATGTAGACAGTGCATTAAAGATTTGACTATCAGAAAAAACACACACTGTCTGGTAAAAATGTTCTAACAAACTGTCCATTTGTCTTTTAGCAACAACGGCGTCTTGACCTCTTGACAATAACAAACCCTGGTGAGTAGAAAAGCTGGTTCTTCTGCTTTGTACAAACACTATCTAAATGTGGGATTTTCCCTGACACTAAGTGAAATAAACTGTTCCCCTGACAAATTTTACATTGCAGCAGGTGACAGTTATATTGTAAGTAGCTTAGCCCTGAGCAGTTATATATCTTTGGAGCTGCCCATCTGGACCTTTAGTCCCAGCATTGTTGGGTTGATTTTATTCTGTCTGATGTTATGCCTGGAGGGGAATGAGTTTTTTCTTTACTTCATACTGTGGACAAACCACAGGCAATGTGTTATAAAACTCCATGTTTTAACACCATGCTTTATTAATACGATAAAAGACATTCCTAGTAATCTGATAAATTTCAGTTGAGTAAATACCTGATAAATCAAAGTTACTGGAAAAGCCCAGCAGGTCTAGCAGCATCTGTGGAGGAAAAAACAGAGTTAATATTTCGGGTCTGGTGACTCTTCCTCAGAACAGATGCTGCCAGACCTGCTGGGCTTTTCCAGCAATTTGTTTTTGTTCCTGATTTACTGCATCCACAGTTCTTTCAGTTTTTACCTGATAAATCAATATATTTGCTGAATGTTTTGAAATTTAAACCCTGAAACTATTCTCTCCTGACTTGATATACTAACTTCTGCATTTAAATAATTTTAGCTGTTATTTTCTGTTCAATTAATTGTTTTTGGATTAATTAAATCATAGTTCTTGTTTATAGTACAGATTACATGTAAATATTAGAACTAAAAACAAAACTGAGGAGACATAATTGGCTGAATTTGAGTTATTTTGTAGAATGTCCAAATTGAATTTTTTGGATTCAGTTTAGGTAGTACTTCTAAAAATTGTGCCTCTACTAATTTACTAATTCCTCACAACATATTCACAGTCAATTTACTGGAATTTGTGCAATTTTGTCCTTCTTTTGCTGCCCACAACTTGTGCTAAAAAAATTATATGTATCAATTATTTATTGTGCAGGTATTAATGGAACTAAGAATACCAGTTAACATCTATAGCAAAGCAGCAAATGTTTTCCTATTTTTCTTTAGATGATAATGAATTATTTTTCCTGAAATTTTAAATTGTAAGATATTGCAGGAAATATTACAGATTATGTTTTGTTATGTAAGAAGCTGTTTTGTACAGTGAGGCTACACAATATTGTGTAAGGTTGAACTTTTGTATAATCAGATATCCATGCACTGCAATTAGGGTGTTGCATCATTGGAAATATGGTGAGGCGGGAGTTCCACCTGCTGTGACATTGAGGTGCAAACTATGCTGTAAATTTATTTGGAGCCATGTCGGTGGCATGTTATAGGAACAAGTATTTAATCTGCGGTTGCTTAAAATGGCAGTGGCAATGGTGGAGAAAACGAGTAAACTGGCCATTGGACACCTATTCTAGTAAAAATGTTGAATGAATGCTACATCTATGTGGAGATACCACAAACCATCTTGGAGGATCCGAGATAGATGGCAGCAACAGATTTCAATGCACTTCCTGAGAAAATCTGGGAACCATCAGCAACATCTGTAAACAGCAGCAATATCTGCATTCATGTATTCTGAGCAGGGAGACTTCTGAATGAGTCTCTACAGCCAATTTAAATAATTTGGACATTGAATTTTAGTGCTTGGGATTGTTTGGAGAGAACTCTGGCCACAAGACTTCTGTCAACTTTAGGGTAACGATCATTCAGTCTCAAAAGTTTGCTCCAGAGACAGGTGTACAGAATCTGGAAATGTTGTGACCCTGAAACTCAGTCAGGGAAAACTGCCCTGGTCCACATGATTTTAATTTTTAGATAGGGTGGTAGGAAGTGGCAGGGTTTGTGCGCATACTGTAGTTGGGACCACCACCCCTGGAAACAGTGCACTTTCAAAGCATACTGGCCTGAGATGGACTGGTTAGCCACCTCCATGTTCCAGTTAGAATATGGACTTTGAGACCCAAGAACCCTCAGCCCTTACATGCCTCTCCCCTCATGCACCATCCACCATGACCTTTCATAACCTTCTTGCCATTCTATGCCTCTCTACCCACCCTCATAGCACCCTATAACCTCGATGCCAATTCATGATGCTCCACTTATCCCGAAGGTTTACTTGACTGCTGCTTTTTGGAATCAAAAGCATTCTCTGAGCCACTAGCTCATCTTTATTCTAAGCTTTAATATGATCAGGTCATGGCTGATTTCTAAAATTGGAGTAAAAGCTTTTTAAAAATCCATTTAGTTTTCATTTTCTTTTCGTCATTTTCCAATTCAAGCTTGGTAATTACTAGTTCTCTTTCCCTTTCTTTCCCCTTCCTTTTCATTACTCTCTCCATTGTGCTTTCAGTCTGCTTTGATTCCAGTTCATGTTTTCTCTTATGGTCACCAAAAGACGGGCCAGGAGTCTGCCATGCTGAGCAAAGAGACCACCACACCTGGCCAAGAGTCTGCCACGCTGGGCAAAGAGACCACCACACCTGGCCAGGAGTCTGCCACGCTGAACAAAGAGACCACCACACCTGGCCAGGAGTCTGCCACGCTGGGCAAAGAGACCACCACACCTGGCCAGGAGTCTGCCATGCTGGGCAAAGAAACCACCACACCTGGCCAGGAGTTGCTAACCTGAAAATGACCTTTACTCTACTCTGTTTTTTATCCATTAAATAGTTCTCAATCCATGTTCATAATTATGAACTAATTTTATTTACCAAGAACATCCACTGATTTTCCCCTTATCAATTTGCACAGTTACATCCTAAAAAAAGCTCCCAAAATTCTGTCAAACATAATTTCTCTTCCATGAATTCAAGTTGACCCTGACATTATTTTCTAAGAGTCCTATTATTGCATCCTCGGATTTAAATTCTGTCATTTTCCTTATAATTGATGTTAGAGTAAAAGGTCTTTTCTTGTCTGCCTTCTCTCTCTCTCTTACATCCACATTTAATGTTATACTTAGCACCTTCCAATCTTCTGGGACATTCTTGAGTCTTTTGAAAGATAATCACCAAATTATTATCTCTTCAATGATCTGTGCTTAGGCCACCAAGACCAGGGAATTTATCTACTTCAAGTCCCATAAATTTCTCTAATACTTTTTTTTACCAGTACTGATATGTTTCAGGCCTTCATTTGCACTAATCTCTAGATTCTATTATTTGTGGTTGGATTTTAACATTTCTTCTGTGAAGACAGACATTGCCTGTCCACTGTCTTACCTTTCTTTAATGTAGGTTTCCAATTCACCATTGCCAACTCGCCCTTCAAAGCTTCAGTTTTCTTCAAATGGGTAAATGTGCATTTAGCAACGACAGTGGAATTCAAACTCATGCATGTGGAACACAATGGATTACCAGTCCATCACCTTAACCTCTCAGCACCCTGGCACAGAATTTTGGGTCTGCTGTATGGATATTTTCTAATTAACCTGCTCAGAGATGTTATTAGACAACTCTAAAGCAGGTGAGACTTGAACCTGAGTCCACATTACTACTGTACTACAAGAGCCCTTTCCCTGGGTCTGTTTTTCCTTTGATATCCAGAAGTGTCATCACACACAAATGAATGACTTTCCCACCTTCAAATCATTGTGATTTTTAAAAACTATTAACCACCTGGGTCTGCTTTACATTTAGATATTTCCTAACTCGGCCTGTTTTATTTTGTTTTCTATACCCAGAAGTGCTATCACACACAAATTAGCAACTTTCCCACCACCAAAATACTTAATAAGCTCCACAGGAAGATTAATTATTGAGTCCCCATGGGCCTTGTAGGAATTATTATTGTTTAATATGGTGGTTACCATACTGAGCAACTGAGCTACCATGGCCTGGAAAGTATCAAGCTCCTTGAGTGTTGTTGGAACTCATTTAAATCCTCATAAATTTGTTTTCTTCAATGTTTCCCAACACTCTCAGATTCTTCCAGACTGACTTTGAAGCAGTTAGATTCAGTGATATCTTAGCAAAACCTTATAAAGTACAAAATATTTTTATTGCCTGCTCCCCTTTCAAATCGCATCTCTGTGGTAATATGAATCATATAGGCCTTGTATCTAGATGATAAACCATCTTCTAAACCCAACTCTTTTCTATATTAGAATTAAAAGGAAAGTTTAAAGTAACTGTTTTTAAAGTCCAGTTTTCCTCACATCTTCCTGTAGCCTGAAGGCTAAATGTTTATCCAGTGACAACACAGTCATTGTTTACATGTGTAAACATCCTGCACCTTCTTCTTAGATCAATTTGTGCCTCATTGTTCCGATTGTAACCTATTGTAAACACATAGGCAGCTCACGTTAACTTCTTCACAACTTCATGTTACTTTAAGTTGATGTGTTCTGAGATCAAAAACTTACAAATTTCATATTTGTAACACTTCCCAATGGCATCACTCTAAAAAATCCCGCAACTCACCAAATCACCTCTAAAAATCTGCCATGGTTATTTTCAGACTCTGCAATGTCAAAAGTTCTTAAATTACTTTACTTGCAAATTGGGTACCAAGCTTTTTACATGAAACACGGAAAATGTGTCTTGGTGACACAAATCCTATGTAGCACTTCAGTGCTTGCTTGTTTTAGAGTGGTATGCATTTTAATTGTAATGACCTTGCGTGGTCCAATTAGGGATTTTGGCAGCCATAGGGATAACCATGCAGCTACGTTTCTAAAGAGGGCAAGCTTTATGTGTTGCATTGAAAGCAGCTGGTGCCAAAGTGCACCCCAGTGAAAGGCTGTTAGGATTTTAAACTTCATGATTTGACGTATCTATTTCCTACAATCTTACACAGTAGAGTCAGCTACTACTATGTTGATAATTGATTAATAGGTGATAAGGTATTTTAGAACTTTATGCTTCTTTAAAATATGATACTTCATTCCTCAGAGTAATAAGCAAGGAACTGAGAATTGTCAAATTGCCCAGAATGTAATGTTAATACCTGAGCATGTTGATGACTAGCTCTGTTCATAGCAAAGGATTTTTATCCTGCTGCAGG